CTTTTATTATATCTGGTTAATAAATGTTTGTGTTTACATTACTTTTGATAATTATACATTTTGATAACCATTAATTGATTAAACCAATACAGTTAGACCACTGTAACATCCTACGACGTGGAGCCCGACATGGGCATATAGCAAAATGTACATCATGTGTTATGGCTAAGTGGATGCGGAAAGTATGATACGAAAAACTTGTTTTAAAGGCTGATTCTCAATACCTATATCCTGCCTGTGCCTGTCTTGCATTTGGGTCCTATTGCTTGTGGTATCACCTGTTATAACATTGTAACCTCTTAAATCTCAAAACTAGTGTCTTGTTTAGGGTGCTTGACATGTTGACATGATGTCTATGAACTGTTAGCAGTTCAACCAAGAGACAGTTGCTTTCTAGGTGTTAAATTTGTTTTTAATAAAAAAAAATTCAACTACTGATAAATCCATAATGAGAAAGGAATAATCCATGACAAACTGCTGCAAACTGTCAAGCCCTCCACCTCTGTCAAACTCTGTGTTTCATTACAGGAGTGGAGACTGTTTTCACAGTCAGTTATGTATCCAGCCTTGAATAGTTAGTTTCTTTGTATTTGCCTGATCATTAATTTCTGTTCTCCTCTGCCTGCACTTCCCCAGCATGACGCCCCCTACATTACTCTGCTACCTCTTTCGGATTTCTCCTCTTGAACAACATTTTTTCTCCCTCCACTGGACCCCTCCAAACACCGGCCACCTAGTTCTACTCAGCTTTGGACTAATCTGCCATCATCATTACCGAAACATTCCATCTCAACCAAGTGATAAAGACTAGTAAATTTGCTTTTTAAGTCTCCTGTCTTGCACTTCTCTCGGTTTTCAACCAGCCTTAACAGCAGACTATTTTATCTAAACATGGAAGGACCTATCATGAATAAGCACTAATAAGCAATAAAACTTATAAGTACAATAATACAAATACAAATAATAAAGTAATAATTTAAGCAAATAACAATATTTGAAGTCCACTGTCTGCATCTGTGCTGAAGTATTGAGGTTTTAGTCATGTTGTAATTGCTATAAAGGAATAGGTTCTAGCTGTGATGTAGATAGTTGAAATAAAACAAATAAAGGAGAGTGTTCTTACAGTTTGTGAGTGCTGCTGAGTAGAGCTTCCAGGATCTCCAGTTCACTTTTAGCTATGAAAGGAGGAAGAATACAAAAGGCTCAATATAAAAGGTGAAACATGAGAAAGTACTTGGGTTTGTTGTTAGCAACTGCTGCCCTGGCATTTGTCCCCTAGACCTTGCAATGATTTTATGTCAGACACCAACATAGCATAATAGAGTAATTAAAGCTGCAAGCAGTGACAAACAGGCCCTTGCACTTTGCGTGCTGCGTTTGTGTTATGTGCCAAAATATCACGCGTTAACCACACCATGAAAATAAATAAATAGCTTAACTTTTAATCGTGAAGGTCTTTGGATTGCACTGACCAAATCTTAAGTAGAATTCCCTAAGAGGAATACAACGTCTAGAAATTGCAAAATGGTGCCAACATTCATATTAAATTAAAAATGTCAGACTTCCTTTTAGGTTTGGGGAGAGGTCTAAGAGGTTATTTTGTTTATGTCTGGTCATGATACATGTGCATATCGGTAAAACATATCACAAGGGCTGCAGTTAAGTGGCCACTGTCAAGGCATTTTGCCACGGCCATGCATGGGACCCATATGACTCTCCCTAAAAATAGTACAGAAGACGGTAGACACAGGTGCATCTGAGCGTATCCCCTTGATTTTCTGGTTTACATTCTAATGTCACCCAATCTTAGACTTGCCCAAGACATTTCAGTCTGTTCATCAAACAATATTAACTACAAAAGCAAAGCTTGGTTAATGTTTACATCCATGGGGGTTGTCTACTACTAAATCCTCCTGTCCACTAATTCAGACAATAAGTCTAACTTACAGGTAGGAACACTACTCATTGCTGCTTTCTGGTGGTCAGGAGTAACTAACTAGATAAATGTCTCTTGGTCCACAGCAGCACTAAAATAATATAGCTGAAAGCTGTGTGCTTTAATAAGAGAACTGATGCAGACATTTCAAAGTTACTTTACCTAATAACAAAATAATTTTACGGTTAGGAAGAATAATTAAAGCTGCAAGCAGCAAATGGGCTGGGGCAATCTGCACAATTTCTGCAAGTTTACATAAATCAGATCATTATTGCCATACAAGGCTTACTTATTGTCTCCAATAGGTGGCGCTATGACTATGATTGAATATTGGCATGTAGATGCGTTTTTATTTTTTTATGGGGAAACGGCAATTGTGGACGCCACACCAAGGGCATGTCGTTCGACAAAAACTGACAAACGACGACTTTTAACTGTTAAGGTTAGATTTAGATTATACTGACCAAATTTGAAGTCAGTCCATTCAATATTCTAGGAGGAGGTAGAAGAAGTACAATGTGTGGAAATGGCAAAAATCAGACTTCCTGTAGGTTTAGGATATGGCTCCAAGAGGCTTTTTTGTACATCTTGACAAGATACATATGCCCATATGCAAATTTCCTGACACATTTTAAAAATAAAACTTCTAAAAGCCCCCTGCTAACGAGTTATAAGCTGCTTACATATGATATTAGTTTAATTAAAAAATCTGATAGTATTTCCCATTTTTGCTGAGCAATTCTTAGGGATAATGAGCTGTTTTGTTACCTTGTGTGAGGAAGGTCTCCATCTTGTCCTTAAAAGGCTGCAGGTTATCCTCATCTGAAACCTTGCAAACCTTTTCCACTTCTGATGTACACGCTGATTAAACAATGGAGACCAAAATTACAAGAAGACAGATATTACATTATGGTTAATAAAATATATTATATCTTAAAAGCCATTCAAGTTTCAAATCACCAACTTTGGTACCCACAAACATTACTCAAAAATGACACTGCAGCAGACATCTATGCACAGTGGACTGGGTGAAGTCCATGTGGTAGCAGCTGCATCTTTGTACTGGGGATTAAGGTTTTGCAATCTGTCATGTCACCTGCAACCCTGAGGATTTGATTAACACTTGTATCTGAGGCTTCCATGGCTTGGCTGCCCATGCATATAGTGTTATGATTTCACAGAAAAGTGTTCGGCTGCCAGACTAAAGGTGAGGTATATGGGTTTCTATGCTGCCCCAGCACCTCCGATGATGAGACAGATCTTTCTTGTGACGTGGATTCTTGTAAATGCCAGGAGCACTAGGAGGTACTTCACATTTTTCCTGCTTTGAGGACAAAATGTTCACTTGCTACCTAATACCCCACCCACTGACAGGTGCCATGATAATGAGATCAGTGTTATTCATTTCACCTGTCAGTGGTCATAATGTTATGGCTGATCAGTATATACAAGTGGTTGAGAATAACCTGAACTTTTCAGTGATGTATTAGAAGAAAGAGGTATTTGACCTGGGCTTTTAGTGGCTCTAAATTAGTAAATTAGCAAATGGCACACAAAGGTAAGCTTGGGTATTTGCTGCATTTGCAGGAATTTTTGTGATTCTGTGTGTGTTACCTCTCAGATCTTTCCTGAGTCGAATCAGGTCTTTCTGAAAATCTTCAAACTTCATCTGTGAAGCCTGGAAAAGATCATGAGGCTCAGGGAGTGGGTACACACACGTCTCTCTACCTGCATCCTGGGGATTGACAGACAGGCAACACACACACACACGTGCACACATACATATTAAAATTATGACATAAGCAATTATGTCATGTAATGCTGTTTTATATCGATTTTTTCCGTTTCAGAAAATATGACCACGTTATTTTTGTAAAGGTTACCTACTACAGCCTACATGGAGATTGCATTTACACAACTCAAACTCATAACATCTCTCTAAACTCCAGCCCTATTCCCTTAATAACTCCAGCCTGCCCTTTTAAGATAAGCACCTGATTTTGGTAAGCCCACCCCGCTGGCCTGACAGCCTTCATAAATGTCTAATAATATCTTAGGGCCACTACACACACCATTTTTAATTTAATGGCTGCCAACTTCCTGCTCTGTGTACACTGTTTGGTGTTGTAACTGTGTCAGTTAACGCTAAATATAAACTTGATTTACTCGTTACAGCGGTTATTTACCCGCTTA